TAACGGTAACAACAGATAAAAAACATTAAAAAGGTATAACACGATATCGTACTACAAGGCCCACGAGTACGCATCAGGGACATGGTGGAAAATACTGGCTTATCATATCAAGGGGTGGACTACATACTGAATAAAAAATTAGATACGAAAAAGAAGAGTGCTAGATGGGTGCCCCGAATGTTAAGCATTTATCAAAAAAGAAATCGAGTGTTGACTTGTGAGCAACTTTTGGAAAGGTACCAAGCAAACAAAGCTAACTTTCTTAGTCGGTGTTTTACCATGGAGAGTCATGGGTGCACCACTATGATCCCAAGACCAAAACGCAAAGTAAAGAGTGGAAACATCGCGATTCTCCCCCTTCACGCAAATTCAAAGTCGTGCCATCTGCTGGAAAGGTTTTGCTGCCTGTGTTCTGGGATGCTCAAGGAATTATCCTGACTATTTGCAAAAGCGACAGAGCATTACAGGGGCCTATTACGCACAATTGATTTCTAAATTGCGAGACGATCTTAAAGAGAAACGCCGAGGAAAGTTAAGGAACGGTGTGCTGTTTCATCAGGATAATGCATCCAGCCATACATTTTGTATTGCCATGGCTGCTATATATCAATCAGGCTTTGAATTAGTGGATCATCCAGAATATTCGCCAGATCTCGCCCCCTAGTGATTACAGGCTGTTTCCAAAATGAAAAGAAAACTTACGTGGGAATTTTTTTCCAGTAATGAACTGATGCAAACTGTAGAGAAGTAGTTTGCAGATTTGGGACAAACATTTTTCCAGGAGGCCGTTGAGATGTTAGAGCACCGATGGACCAAGTGTACAGGGAGACTATGTCGAAAAATAAAAAAAATATAATGCCACTGTAGTTTTATTGCAAGGTCAGGAGAGCTGCATAGGGATCCATCCTCGTTAATTAAATTAAAACAATGTGAATAATCAAAAAAGTGAAATAGAGAAGTTCAAATTATAAACTAATATAGTTTTAAACTATCATGATTGCGCTTCTCTAAACACATCTTTTAATAATAATAGGTTTATATCTTATCATTTAATAATTAGAATAGTTAAAAAAGTCCAAATCGATTTTACTAAGCACCGACTACGAAATTAATAAGTCAGTATAAATGTTATGTGCTTTTGGACCAAATTAATATCTATTTACAGAAAATATATCAATTTCTTAATTGCACTCAGATTTTAAGTTTTCTAATTTGAAAATTATGTTTGGCAATCACTAATGAACAATAGATCTGTGCTTAAATGAAAGTTTCCATTATTTTAATAAAAATATCTGATTTTCAAACATTTTTAAACTTTAAAAGTGAACAATATCTTTATTTTTTATTTTCTGCCATTGCTAAAGACCTACGACATAATATAGGTCGATTATTGTAGCGAATTTATTTTAATTGTTCTTTGAATTATCTTAATACTTGTAGGTAATCAATTCTACTTTATCTAAGATACTGCTAAGTATTCAACGGCATTTTAATAAATGAGACTTATTCAATTTTTATTTTAATCAAAATTCTTTTATTTACATTAGAACAATTTTTCATATAATAATAAGAATTTATCAAAATTATGTCATGCAAACCAAACCGATTTTGAAATTCATAATAGGAAACTTATAGTTAAAAATGAAACCATCAGTTTGTAATATGAAACAAAAGGATTACATTATTTTGATTTCTTCTAGTTGCTAAAATACCGTAGAATATAAAATATCACAACAAATTAAGGCTAAATAATTTACCATCTCAGTGATATTTACTAATAATTGTTCAAATTCAAGTCACTCGATCACTGACATGATTAATTATATTCACCATTATATCAATATCACGTTATTACTATTATTATTTTATCGGAAATTCTACAATTATTGATGTATCTATAAGAGCTCCCTAAATTTTTAATTTTAAATATTTAGTTGAATCAAATTTTTTATAAAAATTCATTTATCTCTAAAATGGACTACCTATAGTACCTAACCTAAGGATAATAATGATTCTGGATCGATCACAACTATTAAATTGAATTTTTGTTGGCCTCTCAAAAGAAATACAGTGTGGAACAGCCAAATGGAATAAATTCGGTAATAAATAAATGGGGGCGTGTTGCGCATTTTTTTAAACTAAAACTTTTTATACAGGGTGTGTCATGTAACAGTAGCCAATACAAACTTTCTTATTTTAGATGCAACACCCTATATATTTTTCAATTTTTGAATTCTTCAGAAAATTCTATACATATTTTATGTACTATCTCTCATACCTGTTTCGTATAATAAATGTTTTCCGATTTATTGCAAAAACTGACATTAACAAAATAAAATTGTTTGATTACAGAAATTCGCTACAACACAATCTTATTTCCCATTTAGGTCTTGATAATCAGAAAGTAAGAAAAAACTATTTCAGCGTTCCTTTTTACTGATATGAAATAAAAAAAAGTTTTATTTAGTTTTGTTTAATTGTGCATGACAGTAGATAGTTGTCAGTGTTATAGTCATTTAAATTTCCTTAACTGCAAATCATACACACGAACATAAATGGAAGTTGCTCGCTTATTTCATGAAAAATTTTCAAATTTACCGCATATATCCCAAGGGACAATTAGTAAAATAGAGAAGCAGTTTCGCGAGCTTAGTCATGTAAGGCAGAAAAAACTAGCTGCCAAAGCAATACCTAATTATACCAAATTAGATATTATGCTTAAGTTTTAGGAAAACCCACATAATTCTAGTCGACAAGCAGCCCCAATGTTCGATATTAGCCATTCATCGATTATTCGAACATTAAAAGAAAATAAAATTAATCCCTATAAAATAATAGCAACTCAGGAGCTCACGGAAGACGATTTTGATAGGAGAACGCAACTTTAGTGTACCTTTATACTTCACGGTCATGCTAATCGTCAAAATTGCCACTATTCTAAGAAAAATCCTCACTGGAAAGCTTAATGTTTGGACAGGAATTGTTGGCGATCATATAATAGGTCCCTTTTTCATTAATGGCAATTTGAATGACGAATATTATTTAGCAGTGCTCCAAAATAATGTCGTGCCAACTTTAACGAACTTATATCCCGATCCAGCAAGCCCACAAGTTCCAGCGAATATGATATGGTTTCAGCAAGATGGAGCACTGTCCCATTACCAAATCAATGTCCGGCAGTACCTCAATCGAGTATTTCCAAATCGGTGGATGGGGAGGCTCGGATCGATCTGACATCATTAGACTTTTTCTTATGGGGACATGTCAAAAGTATCGTACTGCCCCCATTACTAAATCAATGTTCGGCAGTACCTCAATCGAGTATTTCCAAATCGGTGGATAGGGAGGCGAGGATCGATCTGACATCATTAGACTTTTTCTTATGGGGACATGTCAAAAGTATCGTATACAAAACTAAACCCTCGATCTAGCTGACTTAAGAAGACGAATAACGCTTGCGATTAGATCGGTCACGGTTGAGATGTTGAGTAACGTTAGAAGACATTTTTATTTAAGATTAGGATGTTGCCAAGAGGTTCGCGGCAAGAATTTTGAACATCTCCTATATTGAGATTTTTTGTTACATTATCTAGAAATAAACAGTATTACTTATTAGTTTTTGAGTGTGTTTTAACGAATTTCTGTAAACAAATTGTTTTATTTTATTAATGTTTATTTTTGCAATAAATCGGAAAACATTTAACATTTCCGAAACAGTTAGGTATATGATATAGTAATACGTAGTACATAAAATATATCTAGAATTTTCTGAAGAATCCATAAATTGAAAAATATACAGGGTGTTGCATTTAAAATAAGAAAGTTGGTATTGGCCACTGTTACATGATACATCCTGTATAAAAAGTTTTTGTTAAAGAAAATGCACAACTAAAAAAATACCAACCGACGTGTCCGAGCGCTTTTCAGAACACGCCTCCATTTATGTACTCCATTTGGATGTTCCAAACTGTATAAATAGATAACTCTTAAAAAATATATAATCAGTGTCAGTTTAGGAGTTCCACCTATAAGGAAGAGGGCGAGAGAGAATAGGCTAAGTTGGATGGAATAGAAGAGAAGCTAAAATTTACTAAAATACATTACTGTTAAATATAAATACATTTTTTAGTTTTCTTGAAAATTAATATTATTCGTGCCTTTTTCGTTATTGAGAATTATTTGAAAAAACTCTGTTGTCTCCATTTTTAAGCAGTTTTCAACATGATCAAACGCCTATGGACCCACAGTACCTTCCCTCCGAAGCAACGAGTGTTTCCGATCCAATTATACCACTAAAGTTCGGTATATGATTTGAACCTGCAATCTCTAGCATACAATAGGTCTGAAGTATCATTCTAAAATTATCTTTACTTGTTTGTTTAAAGCTTTTTATTCTATCGCTTAAAATAAAGAAGGAAATGGGGGAACGTCAAAATTTTCTTCGTTTGCTGGTTTAGTATAACTGAATTTAAAAAAGGTCTTATTTAAATTGGGCTCTCTCCTTCCACGTTATAAGATGTATCAGCTTCAGCTTCGCAGTGACACTCGTGACAGCTGGAGGGCGCTATTCAGCAATCCAACCCAGGTTGGCCATCCGACACATGTGCCTGTAATCATTTAACTTTTATACATTCTGTATTACGATTTTAACATAAAATATCATCAACATTTTATTTACAATGCCTATTGTTTCTTCATAAACATTGCATAAATTTCCTCTTAGGTAAATAATTCCATTTCTTATAACATCTTCGAGATATCCAAATTTTGCCCATTGATGAACTAATGTAATTTACTGACTACATTGTTTAGGACGGTTCTATTTAGAGCAACAAAAATGTGGCCGTAAAGACATTTCGAGTGAAAGAGATACATACTTTTCCTTCTTATTCAATGTAGTTTCAGTTCTTTTACAGAGCCGTAATTTGAACTTTAGTTTCAAACGTTGCACTAGAATTTCCCCCGGTGCTGATCTCTTTTTGACCAGCATGGAGCTATAGTTATGTCTGCGAAGCTCCCAATGATACGCTAATTGATTCCTTGATGATATGCGTATTCTTTGCCGGAACTTTTTCATCGAGAGAGTTATACATCGGGTATTCGCAACATAGTATAAATTTTATAAAAAAAGGAACTTCTTCGTATATTGATGGTGGTACCGGTATTAAGGGAGATGTTGAAATTTTGTAGCTACGATAATCTGCTATACTGAAACAAAAAGTATCAATTAGTTCTTGTGTAGAAATTTCAGTTACTAATATTAAATACAATAAAAGCAGAAGAATAGATTTCTTTTCTGGTCGAACCATAGTTCTATTTAGTAGACATTTAAAAAAAAAAGGTTTGTCAACACCAAAGAGAAATAGAGCAACATTTTGTTGCTGGCTTCCGTAACATATCTATGGAAACAGGAAACAATTTCTGTAAACATTTTGTCTACACCAAGAAAACTCATTTTAATCACAGTATCATTGTGCAACAAGGAACGTTTCGTCTATCAGTGCAGTGTGTTTTTCAATGTTCGTTAAATAATGTAGTGCGACGATGATTTACACAAGCAACATTACTTATTTACACTTAAAAATCATATTTTTTGGTAGGGTAGATGTGTCTCAGATGGCATACTTTTTTTTAGTTGATGGAATCTCTGTAATAAATAATGATAGAAAAATTGTGGTTTGTATTTCTGGCCGACCCAATGCCAACTTAAACATATAAAACATTTATTAAGGAATAAATTTAAAAACTAAAACATAGTCACTGAGTCATCTCATCCATAACTATCGGGAAAAGATGGCATATTCATAAAAATATAAAGAACTTTTAGCAAACTATATTAATAAACGTTATATAGGTAATAAAAATACCGAATTAAGAACAAATAGAGAGGTACTGCAAATTTGTATAACGTCAGCCACTAATAGTGACAACGTAATTAGAGGCAAATAAATTTCCTGCTAAAATAAGATTTATTGAAAAACTGAAATTATGAGATTAGATTCCTTGTCCTTATACATATTTTCAACCTCATTTTAAATTACAGTTTATCTTTTTTGTTGTTTATAAAAGTATATAATATGGAAGAGGCATTAGAAATTAGCATTTTAGAAGGTTTAGATGACACTGATATTGAATATTTAATATTAAAAAACTTCGAACTGATACGAATGTTGACGAGCGCACCCGAAAACTATAAAGTTGCCACTAACTACTGTCCTTAAACATCCACAATTAAGGACAGGCACAATATTTATTATAGTCAGTTCTAGAATATAAGTGATCTGCGCATGATCAGATGTCAAAGAGCGGCACTAATAGTGAATAACCTTAAGTGAACTTGCAATAACTTAAATCACAGCTCTTTTGATCGTGACCAATGCCATCTTAAATAAATAAATAAATAAAAATATATAAAAATGAAAAAAAAAAAGAAATAAAAATAAATTTAAAAAAAAATAAAAATAGATTCTCTAATGTCATGAGAACAAATAATATTCAACAGTTTTGTTTAAAATAAACTTTAAAAAATCAGATATCCAGATTCTGCTTTAATAGCTGCTAAAAAAAGTGCTTGAATGCCTAGAAAATTATATTTAAAAAATATATTAAAAATTAACAAACACATTTTTCATTACAATTTTTGATAATATATTTTTTCTTCTTTCATATATTTTTATTCATTTTTATAAAAATATGAATGTCTTAACATTATTATTACTTACAAACTTTCAAAGAATTCGGAAAAACTGACTAAATTGATACCGTTTTAACATATAGATTATTGGTAACCGACCAAATATGTGTCCTGTGTTCAAGGAAAAACGATTTGATCGATCTTCATTGTGTGAAATCTATTTGAAAAATGATGTTATAACAATAATTTACGTGTGTATAATTAAGTTAAATTATATATTTTCTAATTTATAATTTTAAAAAAGGACGGTTTACGGTTTCAATCCAAAAAAGTTTTTATAATTTCAAAACTGACGGTTTTAAAACATTTACTTTGTTGTAAGATTAGTCTACCTGAAAACTATCTTATAATTATGTTTTTGTTTGATTTAACTATACAGGGAATTTTAAAAAATATTTTCCGTCACTCCTGGTGTGATTCCCTACCCAAAAATAAGACAAATAATTTCGACTCAACATGGGTTCATCAGATGTAAATAGATTTACTTAGGCGAGCGTACGAACGCGTGTTTTAAAAAATTTTAACAAAAAATATGTACGTCACTAATTTTTTTCACTTTTTGATAGCACGCTTAGTTAGATATTTAAATGACTATATTAAAAAACCACTGTTTAATTTCGGCTTCATTTAGGAGCTACAATTTTATCAAACTCTGTTAAATATCAATCTAAAAATAAAACCATAAAAAATCTAGTATACTAGTGTCTTTATTGACTTGTTATAGTTTTTGATACTGTTGATAGTTTTCTAAATTTCAATCTATTTTTTTACTTATTGTAAAATTTAAACACCCTGAATTTTTGAACAAAAGCATCTTCGGACTCATATTGATAGGAATTATTTTTGAGTAAGGAATTACCCCCGCAAGAGATGTCTTATATTTGTATACTTATTTGGGAATAGTTTCATTATTATTTTTATAATATTCAGCATTTATACTTTATGATTTATTCAATGCATTTTTGCAAATATCTTAAGGATTTATAAACACTTAAATTTAGCATTCATACTGTCGTGTGAAGCGATCAAGACCGGTCCTGCTCTATAGGACGACGCCCAGTTTACATCGATACATCCGAGAGATTACCAGAAAGCTCTTTGTATACGTACTGACTTATAAAGCAAGGGAAACATTTTTAGTTAGTTTATTTGTTTTTAAGGAAGTTGATACTTATTACAATAAACAATATTTAATTAGGTATATCTATTATATTCATTTCGAAATCGAAATTAATTAATATTATTATTATATGATGCCATATTTTATGTCTATTAAAAAAGTTTAACTAGTCAATTTCATTTATATGGATCTATCAAATTTAATTTTTTATATTTTCGAATTACATAAATTATAATTGGATACCGATATATGAGGGTGGGTGGCTCAATGGTTAGAGTTTGGACTTGCGAATCCCCACTCCGACCATTCACTGTTGGGTTCTAATTAACAATGCTGTTTTTAAAGTGGCGCTGGGAAACAGTAACAAAGCCTGCACAGAACACACATAAATAAGAAAAACACAAAACTGAGACTGGCATGTTAGGTATATAATAACCTAAGCCATAAAACAAACAAAAAAATACTGAAATAATGGGTAGTAATTTAACGTGTAACAAATGCTGTCATATGTCATTTCGAAAGAGTTTGTAGAAATTTTTGGAGGTTATAGGACATGGTGTGTTTTTCAATGGCGGGCATAATATATTGCAATTGCATATATGACACCTCTGTCAGCATTCTTGGCATTAAATTACTGCCTATTACTTCGGTATTCAACTATAATACGACGTAAAATAAGTAGGTAACGTTCAGGAAACGTTATTTGAAGTTTCTTAACGTTAGAACCATATAAAAACGTTTACTTCACTTACTCTCTATATTTTTCATCGGAAGACTTTTCCAGAAGTGGTATTCCAGATAGGAACAATATAATTATTGTGGTAAACAGAGGTGACATAATGGCTACCCACTCAACACCTTCAAGAACATTTAATGATATGATGAAGATGCCCCACCAAAGAACAATTTCTCCAAAGTAGTTTGGATGTCTTGATAATCTCCATAGACCTGTAAACAAATTAAAGTATTGAGATACGATACATAATTTGTTGGTTGCATTAAAATATACTGAATTGTAATTATTTCAGGAGATGTCAACATATAACGTATTTTTAACTGTAAATAAATACTGATTACACTACTTTGTCAGGCACGAGCCATTCATTATACGGACTACCATTATTTATAAAATGCAAAATGTACCAGATGTCGTTGGTGCCCATTATGATATAGATTTTTTCATAACGATACAAATTTTTAATCAATAGAAACCCATAATTTTTCAATCAAGCATGCTGTGCATTTGACGTTTGTCCTAGGTTCCTATGTAATTGTTTTAGTTGTCAAAATCAGTACGTATTAAATTTTTGTAGATTGCTAAACTTCGATAATTGTATTATCAAAATGTCTGATATCAGCGATATAGAAGACTTATTACCATCGACTCCTTCACACATATCGGAGAAAGCAGAAAATGCAGTACAAAATATTTTGCCCAAAAATATATGGTAATACCAATACTCGAGGTAATACCATTAATTACAATTTTGTAGATTTTTTTATAGAAATACGAGTAATTACTGTTATTGTGTTCAATATAAATATAATATTTATAGTTCTTGATTATTTATCGGGTGTAGAAAAAATAGCGTATGCAACTCTAATCTAATGGTTATTACATGATCGTTGCATAATATACTATTATAAGTAATTATTTTAATTAATTTATAAATAATTTATATTCCACTTATAGTAAAAGTTATTTATAAAAATACCTAGTAAGATTTCTAATTTACTTATCCTGTATATTTGAAAACGTTTTCATGCAACAGAAACATTCTTCGGTTTCTAAATATATCTTGGCTGGACTGAAATGACTTAATTACGAGAACGTAAATTATACTAGCAAACTCGACATCAAGTAGGCATGTGCGTAATTGACAACAATCACTGAAAGCAAACAAAAATAATTTCATTTAGTTAGGTTACACTACACTGTATACAATAATTTTATTGGAATTATAAAAACGTAAAAATTATTCTGATTATAATCCTATAGCCATAATTACAAACCATAAATCAATATGTAAGTTTTCATCTTTGTATTTGACTATAATATATGAATAAAACTGGGTAAATAATGTTTTAGGTTTAGATATTTATTTAGAATCTTTTGTTATACATATGCATATATTTATATATAATTTTGATGCCGCAACTGCATCGGATACATTGATTTTTGTTTAGGTACAGATCTGCTTAGTTTTTCCAGGAATTTTTTTTTAAACCTAATACATTTTTGTTACTATAATGTATTTGTTATTTTTTTATTATTGTATTTTATTACTATTCCACTATTATTTTGCTAGTGTTTATTTCTATTTTGAACTCATACATTTATAAATAATGAATTCAACTGAAAATAAATACTTTTTTATCAATCGTCAATAGATCCATACATTATCATCGCGATTTCTGGAAGTAAGTAAACAATGCTGTGTTACAGAACACTGCAAAACGTACCTTTTGATGCGCATATGGCGAGAATACTAGGGAAACGATATAAATAATAAATTAATATTGACAAGTTGTTAATCACTTAAAATATAAGAAAATAGCTGTTCATACAATCCAAATCTCTTCTTCATATTATATCCAGTAAAAGAAACGGTATTTTATTGCAATTAGAGTTTAACATATTGTATGGAATCATTTTGCATATTTTTTGTAAATTATAAAAACTATTGTCATCATGTGGATTGCTAAAATTTTTCCAATTTGATTTAATTTTTTTTCTTTTTGATTACGAAAAATTTTTGTTTACCTTTGTAATGATTAATTTTTAATCGTAACTATAACTAATATATATGTAAAATATATATATATTTCTAACTTTTTTTAATGTTCCTAACTTTTTCCACGTTTCGCTTGTGTATTTCCGAATTCTGGGATTTCTTTTATCAAATTTTAATAGAATATTTAATTAAAAAAAATAATCTCATGTATTTATTTTAAACTTTATGTCGGTGTCTCACTTTTTTTGTAGACAAGTGTATGTACATGAAACCTTTGATAATTTAACAGAAAGTCCTCTATTGAGGATTAGGAAATATTTGTGTGCGGTGACTGACACCAATGTCCCCAATAAAACATGCACATTTGCTAGATATATTGTATCAATGAACAAGACTAGCAATTACATTTCTTTATGACAAGAATATTAAGAAAATGACAGCTTTGAATATACCTAACTAAAACCGAAAGAGTAGGTATAAAATACTATGATAAGTGAATCAATTTTTGAACAATTCCTTTTTTATACAAGGCGTTCCTAAATTAAATTATGTAGAACTTTTTATTTTGGGTTCCATTAAGGAGAGACGATTTATACCTACACATGAAATATGAGGGCTGTTCCATTTCCGTTGAGCCGAATAAAGTAAAACACAGTTTATTTACAAAAGACAATTATTTATAATTTTTCTAAGTGGTTCCCTCTACAATAAATGCATTTTTGCATTCGCAAAAACCATTCTTGAAAACATTTTCTACAATTTTTTGGCCGTAAGGCACAATCAACTGCTTTTTCGGCCGATATAAAACGTAATTTAGCCTTTACCCGCGAAAATAAGTCATTAGGTGCTAAGTCTGGACTATATGGCGAATGACCCATTATTTCTATGTTTTGAGCATTCACATACCAATTTGTTCGAGGATCAGTATGAGCCCGAGTGTTATTTTGATGCAAGATGATGATTCTTCCTCTTGGAAGTTTTTCGCGAACTTTTTGGAGAACCTGAGACAAATATCATCGCATACTCAAACAAATAATGATTGAGAGTGAAAGCAGGTAGAAATACGACCAAATCGGAGGCGTGCTTATTATTTTTGAGAGGGTACAATTATTTAAAATATTCATACAATTTCTTTTATTTATTTCATGAAAACTTTGCAATATCGTAATTTACCTAATCGTTGTAGTCATTAGTGGGGCTTTATGAAAACGGAGTAATAATTGTGGTAATTATAGTAGGAACCAAATAAATTAAGAATATTAATAAAAATCACAATATATATTTCAAATTAAAAATAAGAAAGATACCTAATCAGGGATTGGTTTGGTGACAGAAACAATATTATCAATTTTACTATTTTAATAATGAATTTAACTTTATTTCACAAATTAACGTAAGGAACTGTCTCTTAAGTTTCTTCTTGGGTTACACATACAGAAGTATTACTTAAATTTTAAATTAAAATCATAATGACGGATATTGCATATCCAATGCAATTGATATTTTTATTTTGTTTTGTTTAGTTATTTTTAAATTTTTATATTTTTTAATCTTTTTATATTATATTTAGTTTTTAATTTACTTCGCTTTGTCTATAAAATTTTTGTAATTTTTCAATGACAATAAAGCATACCTCTATATATATCTCTCTCTCTCTCTCTCTCCCGGTTTACCTGCAGTTCCTCGAAACTAGCCAGCCTTACCCAAGAAACCCTAATTGGGTTCGGCCAACATTAAAAGACATTATAAAGCTTAAATTACTATTTGATTGGTACTTAAATCATAAAAGTTTACACGCACCTATCATTTCGGAAATCCCTAAGTAAGATAATTAGTTTGGATATAACCTACAGGATTATGTTTTCTTGACCGCCAAACATAATAATAATAATGTTTATTTCAAATTTATGTAACAATGTACAAATTGATACAATAATAATAATTAAATAAATAAACATTTGTATCCTACTGAGACATTGTTCATGTCTGTGTACAGGAATTAAAAATACAAATTTATATAATAATTTCTAAATGGTAATAGTGAATGGTAAAAATAAAAATTATACCTAAATATATAGACTTCTTTTTGTGTACAAATTTTCTTCTAATCTTCAACCTCAGATTCGTCACTGCTGCTACCGCTATCATCAAAGTTAATTATGATTGGTTCAATATTGTGTTCAATACGGTTGTCTACGTCCCACATTTTTTGCTCTTCTTTTGAAACATTCTGAATGCATTTCTTCCAGTCTTCTGCAGAAACATTTTGAATGGCTTCTTGTAGGTAACGTTGCACGTCCACTAATTTAAATGTTCTGTTTTCTCGTGCCACATATCCTTTTACTTGCGCCCAGATTAATTCTATTGGGTTTAATTCGCAGTGGTACGGTGGTAACCTTAATACTGTAATTCCACGACTTAACGCCATTTCATCCACTGCGAATTTTTTATATTTGTCTCTGTGTAATTTTGTTAACTGAAGTAGTTCTGCCTTTAAACTATCTTTTTTATATTGGATGTTTTTATTAATTAACCATTCTTGAATTGCTCGTTTTTTCCATGATTGTTTCGGTAATGATTCTAAATACCGACTATGATATGGGGCATTGTCCATGACGACGACAGACCCAGGTTCCACAAGTTGAATGAGGCCTTCAAACCATTTTTCAAACACCTCCGCATTCATCTCTTCATGATAGTCGCCTGTTTTCTTGGATTTAAATATTAATTCACCATTTGGTAAAAATCCACTGTCGCTTCCTATATGCGTAACTATCAGACGACTACCTTTTCCAGACGGCTGTTTTAACCCAGTTGACAAGCCTTCAATAAAGGCTTGTCGTGCACTTGTTATATGACCATCCTGCCATACTTTTTTGACCGTATGTCCTTGGTTAACCCACGTCTCATCCATGTAGTAAATTTTTTTTTTGATATTCCGAAATTCCTCAATTTTTCGGAGATAATTTCTTCTCCATACTATTATTTCCTGACGTTCAATGAGAATGCTTTTCCTGTCGACTTTTCCGTACGTAAATTTCATTTCGTGTAAAATTTTCCTCAAAGTTTCTTTACTCATTTGTGGGACCAATTCATGATCGCTAACTGCCTCCAGAACTTTTTGCAAAGTGGGCAGCTCATTTCTGAAAAAGAAACTGTGAATAGTTGTGCGTATACTGTTTTTGGCTTCTTCATCAACTGTGATTTTTTTTTCTTCCGCTACTAGTTTTTGGCGTTTGTACTTCCCCATGAATTTTGTTTTCTCTTAGTATTTTGTAAACTGATGATTTTGGTACACCCGTATAATCAGAGCACATATCAACTAATTTATCTTTTGTAATTGTGGAAGTTAATGATGTTGGAACGCCCGGTTGGTTATTCGGAGGTACATCCGTAGAATTACAGCACATATGCACTAAGTTATCTTTTGGTCGCTGATGATCTCTTTCAAGACAGTGAAATACTCGAAGTACAATTTGTTTTTCACTTAGCGACCGAGACTTCGACCGTTTTACCTTTTTCGACGTTGAAGGCCCTTCAATGTCTTCCATTTTTTGCATAGTTTTAGAACGGTGTAGAAATATTATTATTTAATGTTTAAACACTTATTAGCACTAATATTTTCACCAATTGTTCTTACAACACGTCGATTACTTACTAACTTAACTGTAAAACTTACAATTCACACCGTATAATTCAAAACCCGATGTTACGCTCGTGGTTAGAAATACACTACTGAGAACGTCATCGACGAGATGGATTTTACGCGTAAGAGACAAAGACACAAATATCGCTCCGTACACCGATGCCATTAGTTGTAACAAATACTGAACAATCCATAAAATAATTAATTTTAAATGATCAAGAAATGTATAAGTATTACTCATTACTGATTTTTGTTATAATTAATATCTTTTATTAGTACTATGATTGTATATTATCTATAATTTGCCACAACTTACAACTCTACTACTTACTCTATTTTGATTCTGCTAAAAACTAGTAAGGTAAAATTGAGATATGACAACACGGTTCACTCTCAATCATTATTTGTTTTTTTTTTTTTTAGATATGCTCAGCGGAAAGAGAACAGCCCTCGTACATTGTGCTTAAAAAATAGTTAGCCAAAGCACAAAATAGCGATTAGGAGTAATTTTTATAATAAAGAACCAAGTAACAAAATAATTTGTATGAAAATAAATGTTTAAAATCAGTGGCGTACCTACTATTTTTTACCGAAATGTGTAACAGTTGCTTTGTATCTACGCCAGTGCAATATCATTTAGAAACAATTGTTTAGAAAATGTATTGCTTTTGATTGGAGCTATAGTCTAGAGAAGAAAGGAGTGCAGTAAATCAATTTGCAGAACGTAGTATAGGTTCAAGAGGTAGACATTTTATTTATACCTCATCCTTCAATGCTTATTTGTAGTTAAAATGATAATGTTAATACATCTGATCGGCCTAATAAAAGTTTTCGTTTAGATTTAATCATGTTTCCATGGTTTTTTCTGTAATAAACCTTTTATTTTGACAGAAAAATCAGACTTTATTTATTCACAGCCGTACCGTATATATTTTAATTAATTCGGAATTTTGTATTGCCTTTTATTGCCACGTTTTTTTTTTCAAGCTTGGACTTTCAGGAACACTAGTTTTTCTGCTACCTAATAGTTACCGACAACCTTACTACAAAAAGGAGTATCAACCGTTACATTGAATTTTGGGACATCATTCGGGTTTTCCAAGAATAAAAAAAAATAAAATTGTAAACAGTTTTTTTTTTATTTGCTCTTTATTTATCCATCAAGTCACTGTCGAGGGTTAGAGCAACAATTTACCGTAGGTTTCACCTTTTCCCCTTTAAATTAAAATAAAGGTGTGGCCCAGTTTTTGCTGCTGTTGTGGCCAAAGGTGGCCCATAATTTGACGTTGGGCAGCTTCTGCTCTAAACCTCGCCAGTACCCAGCCACTTAAAAAATTACATTCAGAAAATGTACGGTTACTTAATGTAGTTCTTCCGAAACCACTTATAATAACAGGAAAAAAACATTTTCGCTCTTGAGATTAATAGAAAATTCTGAAACAATTGCCTCTTTTACACGTATTTAATTCTAAATTTAGAACTACTGGACAATGGCTGTGAATACCACTATCGCATCGTAGTCATGAATTTCATGGCTGACAGTTCTACGCGACGTATTTAGTTTGAATTTGCCTGAATAAAGATAAGCAACGTTTGTTAAGTAGAACTTAAATTCCATAATTGGTGAATATAATGATTCTTATATGGAATTTGATAATATTCCTTCTGAACTGACAAATTATACAAATAATTTAAATAAAAATTGCCCAGTATAAGTTAGATTAAATATTTTATTGTGTTCAAAGTTTCATTTTACTTTATTCAACTCCCACTGTGTCTATGGCCGTGGAGAAAGTACAGTCTGTTACTCCAACCTTATCACAGAATATACTTTTAAAAATTCTTGCAATCGGGTCATTCTTTACATTCAGGGATGAAAAGTTAGGGCCTAAATTAAAAAGTTGTACATATAGAAACTAATCTACTTAACCTGTACGATCTGGCGCCATTTAAATTTAACCGATCGCTCACAGATTGGCTAAGTTGTTTTACGTTTTCTCATTTTATGTATAATTTTTTTCGCGATGTAACCCGCAATAATAATATTATTAATAATAATAATAATAATAAAACGTCTTTGTTGTAACAAACAAGATTGCATGTTACATAGCAATGGCTCCTGGCCACACAGGTTAAATAAATTGGTTAAGTTTTTCTTAATCAATTTAGGTTAAGAGAAATCTGAACACTTCGTGATGGCTTCAGGCGCTGTTTTGTTCAGGCGCTATTTTGAGTAGGCTCTATAATTCGTGACAGAGCTTCGTCCGAACGGCCTATATCGTCTACTTATTTTAATTGGGCCACGAATACAATTTCAACCATTAAGCATAGGGAGTTTTTTTGCAAGTGGAAATTATATGGTAATAAAATACTGAGAATTGTACAAAAAATTAAAAAAAAAATGTTTACTTACCATCATTACACCACTTGCCCTGATTATTAGGATCCTGTCTAAACGAGAATTTTTGCAAATCTGCATAAGTTTCGGCCAGCAATCCAACTATAAAAAATGCGGTTCCTGTCGAATCCAAAGTTGTCATGGTTTTCGGAGCTAAAGGAATCGAATGTCTAGGGGAATTTATAATTATCACTGGTAAACTGACTACGTAAACCCAAATAGCCTGAAATACAATTACAAGATTTAATCAATTTAAAAAAATAAACACTGGAGCAGAAATAGATGTTGATCGCTTGAATCTTTTATAAGCACTAATCGGGAATTCTTTACATTCTTTATAGTGTGACTTAAATGGTGGATCATCGTTCTCTCACCCAATGAATTGTCACAATAAAAAAAGACTACACTACACACAGGATTCCTAGCTTTTTTATGGGAAAATAAACAATTACCGTCTCAAGACTAAGGCAATCCCTCGATAATACCTTATTGGCAAGAGTGTGGGATGCTATTTATTTATAACTTAATCATAATAATTCAACTTCACGACATATTATAGATGAAGATATTCGCCATGGCCCCAACGGGAGACCGCAATGAATTCAAGAGTGGTGAATAAATGTTTATAATTTAACAATCAACCCGATGTCATAGTCGAGCCGTCCTAAGTTTACCACGACTTGTGCATTAAAAGTTCAAAGAGATAATGTTGTGAAGTTTCAATAGGATTCAAACAGGGTTCGTGGTAGATGAGCCTATGGTTCTTGCGCCTGTGGTACTTGCGCCGTCCACGTAAAAGTATATGGTACTTACGCCGTCCATGTAAAAGTATATGGTACTTACGCCGAAGCAACCTTTTCGAGCATAACTGCTTTTCAAGAGCAGTCAGTGATTTGAGTCCTGTTTGTATCCGAGTAGGATAGACAAAAGGGTAAGAACAAGTAGGTAGGTAAGCTGAAAATGTTAAATACAGACTGCATTGAAAATTAATATATACCTATTATAAAATATTTGTGGATTTTACCTTTAATCTCATTAAACATTAGTTGTTTCTTGGATTTTATTTTAGGGATTTTACTATTAATCTGATTATGCAGGTATAGGTACTGTCTTTGAATAAAGATGGACATAAAGAGTTCCAAATTTGTTCATAGTTCATTAATAAAATTGAATCGCGAGATATTATTATAACATGTCATACTTTTTTTTTCCTGGGCTCGTCTGACTATCTGTCTCCGAATAACACTGAAGCCTATTGGCTTATTGTGTTTTACCCCATGTTAGTTCATAGCACCCACTCTATCACCTTTGTACCTTGTACAAGTTTGTACAGATCCTTGGATGAGTGGGTTCTATACGTTGTTGGATCAACCTGGGGTTGTCCAAAAAGAGCCTGTCTTTTGCGATCTAGAGCTTCGCATTCGCACAGTATGTGTTTGGCCGTTTCTGGTTTCTTGTGACATAGTCGGCACATGAGTTCCCCATTGTACATGCCAATTTTGTTCAAGTGTCCCTTTACTGGGGCGTGCCCAGTCATGAACCCTGTTATCACTTTCAACTGGTTCCTATTCATTAAGAGTAGTTCTCTCCAGTTCTTTTGGGACATGGTCTGCCTATGAAGGCTTTTCCATGTGCCTGTTTTGGGGTGCTAACCCAATAGTTGATATGTTGTTCCCGAATCCAGTCATTTATAAAACCCCGGACTGTACTTTTTGGTACTCCTGGGTTTGTGTCTGGTTCCGGTGTTTCTTCTGACCCTCTTTTTGCAAGTTCGTCAGCCTTTTCGTTGCCTTCGATCCCTTTGTGACCTGGCACCCAAAATAGTTTTACTCTATTTCGGTCTGCCAGTGTTATTAGTTCTTCGATGCATTCCCATATCAGCCTCGACGTAACTTTCTGACTCGATATGGCCTTAAGTGCCGCTTGGCTATCTGACATTATTTGAATATGCTGATTTTCGACAGCTCTTTCATTGTTCGTTTTTGCACATTGCAAAATTGCGTATACCTCGGCCTGAAATACCGAGGAATGTATTCCTATAGCATAGCTATGGTTAGTATCAGGGTTTTTGGAGAATACTCCTGCCCCAGTGCCTTCCGCAGTCTTAGACCCGTCTGTATACCAGGTTTGTTCCTGTCGTTGGGCATTGGGCTCCCATATGGTGATCTCCGCTCTTTCCTGTATTAAAACCTCAAAGGGAGTATTAAAAGAGTACCTCTTGGTTATGTGGTCTGATCTCATGTCTAGCACGTCTCTTGTCACTAACCTTGAGATACTCATGTGACCTGGCCTAATGTCAAGATTTCCCAGTGTATTCCCTAATCTGTAAGCGCCTAATCTTGCCTCCCCTTGTATCACATAGTGAAGAGGTGGGAGTCCTATTAGTGCTTCCATTGCAGCAGTGGGGGTTGTTTTCATTGCCCCCGTTATTCCGAGGCAGGCAAGTCTTTGTACCTTGCTTAGCCTCGTTATTGCTTTCATTTGCTGTGTCTTTGGCCACCACACCAAAGCTGCGTATGTTATTATGGGTCTCACCACCATGTTATAAAGCCAGTACACCATGTCTGGTTTTAACCCCCATTTTTTTCCAAAGGATCGCCTTGCCATCTTTAATGAGGTTTCCGCTCTCCTTGTGGTTCTTTCTAGATGTTGGTTCCAGGTAGGTCTCGAGTCAATCATAACCCCGAGATATTTTACCTCCCCCTTAAGCTGGATGCTTGTACCTCTTAGGTTTAGAGGCCCTAGTCCCTAGAATTGAATCGCGAGATATTATTATAACATGTCATACTTACACATTCTTTAAATTTCTATTGAATTTTGCGAGAATTGTTGTGTATTTTAGTTTTCGTGTCGTGGCTGATGTAGCTGAAGTTAGAATGACTTTCAAAAATATAAATACAAAATAAAAAATGAAAGCAAATTACACGTGGTTGTGCACGGTGTGAAAATTTTAAGTCTAACGAAACTTAGCATATGTGCAAACATTAGAATAGTTAGATTACCTATTATGCATAGACCTATTTTGTGAATAAATGAGTTTGTTTTCAAACGCAGTTTTTGTTTAATATTTTATATTTCACGACCAGTATGTTTATAAAAGGTGTTTCAGAATAAAGTACTGTAAACTAGGGAACTTGTAGATCTTAAGTAATTGTTAAAAAAAGCTGTATATAATTTTCCTATAAACGTCTAAATATCTTCCCTTACGGTAAAGACATTAACTTAAAAATATTAACACACTTTATTTCGATAAATTACGATAATCTATTGGCGTAGAATCAAGGGCTAAGGAAACAATTTGGATCCAATCTTTTTGAACACCCTATATTTCATAAAAGTTTAGATTAATAATTATTCCTTACATAATTTGTCACAAAAAAGGGACTCCTTGGTTGATCTCTGTAAAACATTCCATTTCCGAAATTTTTCAATTTTAGTCCCTTTTTTGTGACAAATTATGAAATAAAATAAAAAGTTTAGATCAAAATTGATATATTAACCCTTGATTCTGTGCCAATGGGTTATCGAAATGAAGTGTGTTAACTAATAATTGTGATTAACTAACAAGTAAATATTTTTAAGTTAAAGTCTTTACCGTAAGGGGAGATATTTAGAAAATTATGAATTTATGAATTTCACTTTATCACCCTGTAAAATAACAACTGGCGTCCACTTTTGGAAAATTAATCACGCACATAACACCTCACGCAACACTTTAAGACGTTGGAAAAAAAATGGCCCAGCGAAATTGTGGAGGAGGTGAATTTTGTGAAACACATAACTTGAAAATAAACTAAAAACCAGCCATAAGAAAATAAGTCACACTCATGTCTCCTCACGTACTTCTTTTAAAAGTTGGAGAGAACAGATGGTCTGGTGATATTGGTGTAAGGTTTAATATTTTTTCTTGTAGGCTGGCATCGAATGGCCTCGAATGATCATAACGAATAAAATGTTAAGAAAATACTTCAGTTTTTGGAAGGAATGTACCACTTGTGATGATGGTAAAGATTATTGTAAAATAACATTAAATAAAGTGCCATAAAATACGGCGGCAAGCTACAGTAGATGGTGGTATGCCTCTACGTAAATAATACACGTGCCCGACAGACATCACTTGAAATTCGTGATAAAGTATTAATTCATTGGACCTGGCGCCATTGATCTGGAAGATCGCAAATTGAAATATTATATTGTTAAATTGTGTATATTATTAATAAATAATACCCTCCTGTTTTACGAAGCATTATCCCAATTTTCTGACATACGCTTTGTTCAGTTGCGTCTTTCGGTACTCTGATGATTTCACATTAAAAAGAGTTTCATGAGTTCGAACAAAGTCGATTAAAATTTCATCTTGTTTGCTAGACCAACTAATTTCTTCAGCCATTTCTAATTATTATTATTAAAACCATACCATCACTACACTGGAGCACCGTCAAAAATCGTCCTTGCACTATCCAAACGTACAGAGCGGCCGCTTTAGAAAATACGGTGCCGTATTTTTTGCGCCGACCGCTCTAGAGGAACATCCTCCGATTTGCAAGTACATAGACGCTTTTTCGCGGCGAAGCTCGCCGTCAAATTACGACCGCTCTTTTGCGGTACCGCTTTGTAGGAAACCGTAGCTTAAGCGCCACTGTCTGAATCTCGCGGTTTCATGATTTCGTTAGACACGTTTCATAGCACATTTTAGTAACAAATTCAGCCATAAGAAAATAAGTCACAAATCTGCGCGTTGGTTCTAGGACTATAATATTAATATTATTATTATTATTATTATTATTATTTGAAACCATAGAATAGCGAGTAAATTCGTTTATTTACAACCATATATGTAATGTTGTCATTACTAACGTCATTGAAGGTTGGGAAGTGTCACATTACACACCTCTACTTTCCGCCCTCACTTCCCGCCCTCATTTCATATATTCTAGATGAATATTTTTTATATTTAAAAAAAATAACACATTTTTTTTTGACAAATTTTATAATACCTATTTAATGGCAAACAATAAAAAACAACAATGAACTAAAATACAACAAACTACTTATTGATATTTATTATTCGCGAATTTAATATCCGGCTCTATCTGACATTTATTTATATTGGTGACAGTTGTTTACCCCGTAATCACAGTAACAATATATTTACTTGATTATTCTAAGAAAACCGCGCGCTTGGTAATTTGTCGTTAAATGTAATATTTTAGGTATGTTCAGAACGAAACAGAGATTTATTAACTTTGATCGAAATATGAGGGTTGTAAATAAAATAGTATACAAACCTCGGTAGGAAGTTTCATTCCTGTCTCGAGATCATAGCTAACCTCGACGCTTCGCGTCTCGGTGATCTAACTAATCTCACGACAGGAATGAAACTCTTCCCACCTCGGTGTGTATACTAATACCTACCTCGGGAAAACTCATTCTAGTCCAGTGTTGCCAACCGGAGGGAAATTTCCCGTTTTGCGGGAATTTTTAACACAAAAGGGAAAAAAATGGAAAAAGTTAACTAAAAACGGGAATTTTTTACTCCAGTCTACAATGTGAAAAATGTATAATTTGAAAAATAAAATAAAATAAAATTTGTTAATTGTTTGTCTTTTTTTAAAAGTAGTGTTAAAATATTTATAATAAAATCTGAGGGTTTTTTTTTTTTTTAGAAGCTCGACAGGACCTGGTTTATAAAATGATGCTAAGGACTTGTTTTTGTTTAGAAATTTCACAAACAAAGGTCCGGTATTTCATAAAAGTGGGAAGTTTGAAGGTATGTGGACGGAAAAATCTTACTTCAAGGTTGGCAACACAGTTCTAGCCTCACGTCTGGAGCTTACCTCGGAGTACTTCTCCGCTTGGTATGTAATATACGTAATATTATACTATTAGAATATTAAAAGATGAATCTCTGATATAGATTACCTATCTACGAGTATCTATAAATGCAAATAGGGCACAATTACCACTAATTTGTCCGCTCTTAAAAAGCAGGTACTTTCGAAAAGTACGCTTGGCCTCAAATACCACAAATATAGTAGTCGGAAGTACCATGAGCACATCTGCCATATTACTCAAACAATACGATATTTACTGTTCTATTATTAATTAAATCTGCATCTGTCATATTACTCAAACAATACTTTAGTTGTTCTATTAGTAATTAAAAATTAGTTGTTGAACTTTTTTATTGTAATAATTTGGAAAAATCTTTTGTTTACTTATACTTAGTATAAAAATATATATAGTGTTTTGATACAATCTTAAATGTACTGAAAATTACAACAGAATTTTTTTTATATAAAATATTACATAAATTATTTTTACGTTTTATTTCAGTCGTACACTTAGGACGATTCTAATGTATCTATATTTACTGAATATTAAAAATAGGTACATCAGTATGATCAAATATTTCATTTTATTTTGCTTAAGCCCACTGGGGTGCTGTATCGCTTGAGAATCTATGTTTAAGATACCCAAAAATAACATATCAAAAATTCAATCTTCCCCCCTATTTTACGACAATTTTATTGTATTATTTAACCGTAGATTGGGCAATGATTTCTATAAGAGTTAAAGAATCAACTTTAGGCTCATAGTATAAATCTAATTACGAAAATGAACCAAAATCTAAAACAACTCTAAATAACTTACCTGGAACGTCCAGAATATAGCAAATCGAATGTTGTTGCTTTTCGTGTCATCAAATTGTTTATCTCTGCCTATTTTAATTATTCTGTATAACAGGTAACCAGACAATCTCATTCCCCATAGACACACGTAAACTGTTACCATAAGTTGCCTGCTGTCATAACTTCTCTAAAAAAATATAAATACCTTACTAAAAAGGTTCTGAAATGAACAAAAAAATAAAATAGATCAATTTGAACTGTAAAATAATATAGCCATCTACGCTACAACAATTAACTTTCTGCAGTGGCGGATTTCTAAATAGGCCAACTAGTCTATAACCTAAGCCGGCAAATTTTCGAATTCGGGATTTTTTCCGCGGTCACTAAAAACGAAGTATCAATTTTGCCGAATTTCCTCTCTCAACTCGTTTTTTTGGTACTACAACTTATTTTTCATTTCTGCAAACTACAACTTCTTTTCGGCATCCACAATGCGTTGGGAAAACTTAGATATTGTGCAGAGATGATGCCTGCAAGGATTTACTGAAGTCTTGGAAAGATATTAACGATACTTTGAAATGAATCTCAAATTATAGTTCAGTAGTTCAGATAGTACAAAAGGAGCTGTTGCCTCTCCTTTTGTAATCAAGAAAATGACCAGATTTAAACTACGCTTATAATTGTTTTTTTGTAATAATATTCTAATCACATCAATGTAGTGTTGCTTAGGAAGGCCAGTCCTTCATTAAAGGCTAAAGTCCGTTCTTCTTCAGATGTTCTTTGGAACTGATTCGAGCGAAACTGTTCATAGATAAAGAATAAAGAAAACAATTTTAAAATTTAATTAAAGATGATAAAAAACTTTTAAGTGTAGCTAAGTCAAAAAAAAAATAAACAATAAAATATTTTTTGTCTTCGGCGGCGCCTACGACTAGGATTATATTTATGTACCTTTCAGAAAAGGAGGCCATCCTACATCAATGTAGTCAGTAAAAAAACTAAAACAGGAAGATGCAGATATTGGATTGGTCATCGATTTGTACAAATCCCTCGTCACAATCTCCGAAAAGGAAGCTAAGGCACTGACTGATAAGTAGAATTACACTACAAGCGAAAATTAATATTTCAAAGAAAGCTACTCGTACGAAGAGAAGGAAGTGCTGTTTGGTTCTAAGGATGATTTCAACATAAACGTATTCTTTACAATAATAATTGTGGATCGATAAATCTCGGAATTGAATCGTCAAAAATGTACGTACGACATAGTATTCGAGATTTTCTTCGTTATTTTTATCTCTTTGTTGGAGAAATAAAGAGTAATCTGTTAATATTATATGAAGTTTATTCACAGGTAATTTTAGACGATCTAGATGAACAAATCTTATACCTCAAAGAAGAGTAATTGGCACTAGAAGACAAAAACATGTAAATAATAATGTATGTAACTGGATTAGAGGGCCCTGAACAAAATAGTGCGATCCATAAAAGAGCGCCTGAACGAAATAGCGCCTATAAAAATAGCGTCAGTCAAAACAGCGCCCAAACGAAATAGAGCTTTTTAAAATAGCATTATTCAAAATAGGACCAAAAAAATTTAACACAAAATGATTTAAGAAAACTAAACTAATTTACTTAACCTGTGCGGCCTGAAGTCATCGTGTGTGAGGGTTGAAATTCGCAAAAAATTATACATAAAATGAAAAAACAATTTTTTTTACTAATCTACCTAACCTGTGCGGAAGCGATCGCTTAATTTTAAATGGCTCCAGAACGCACAAGTTAGGTGAATTAGTTAAATTTTTTTTTAAATCTATGTAAAAACAATAGCGCTATTTCTTTCTGGTGGTATTTTGTAACATATATTTCAGGCTGAAGCTGTTTCAGTTTTCACTATTTCAAAAGGATCTATTTGACCGTTACTCTTTTGATGCGCGCTATTTTGTTTAGGCGCTATTTTAAGTACCCAAGCGTTATTTCGTTCAGCCCTATTTTGATCAGATCCTCAAACAATAGCACTATTTTAATGAGAGCTATACCTCGTTCAGTGCTTATTTCGTGACAGGGCCGGATTAGAGATCGGAATTTGCGTATTTTTCCTAATATCGATACAGTTGTGAGAATTTACAAATTAATGACACTAAACAATTATTGTTCCGAGTTAATTTTAAGTATGTGAAACTGCGAATTCGATTTCATTTGACGATGTGACTAAAATATATGAGCTTTTAGTTTGAGTTTGGGTTTTTTTATTCCGTTTGTTGCATTTTATGTGATACTAATAAATGTGCACAATTTTCGTATTCCATATTTTAGTACATATTTTTAGTTTTTTAAAAAATATAGCATATTAGGCGGCGATTAGGCTCAGGGTATTAGCGGCACATTTGTAAATCCGCACCTGTCTTTTTGTAGTCCAAGTATTTGGCTCGAAATGTTTTGATGATAAATTATAGATACATTAGCATTTCAAATTATTTTTTTATTTTAGAATCTAAGTACTCACCCTTTCTCCTTGACCTAATAAAAAAGTCAACAATGCCAAAATTATGAAATTTATGCCACCTGCAAAGTCGGTAACTTTGTCCATTTGAAAAGTTGCTGCTACTATGAAAAAAATTACTTGCATAGTCACTGTTACTATAGCACTAATAGCAAAATGATCTTTATCTAAAATTTCGACAGCCATGTCTTTTGATTTGTATTTTTAAAACAGTGAAGGTTTTGTCCTAGAAAAAAAAAATTCAGTTCATACAATTTGTTGCTTAGGTCTTTAGTATACTAATATGAATACCATAAATACAGTTTAAAATTGTCTGAAATTTATAAAGTAATTAGCAACTAGATTGAGTCTCCAACATACATCATCATGTCTGTATAACGGAAAAACATCACACACTGTAAAAATATAACCATTGGAATGGTGATTAAACTTGCCAATACAAAAAGTAGTCGACTGAAACTGAAGGAGATTTCAAAAACAAATCTCAAATAACTGCCTTCAAAAATTCTTTATATGAACACCTTGGAAAGTCAAAGGCCAGCACGCGATGGGTTCTCAGACTCAGAAACCTTACACTACATTACAAAAATCGACAGAATTGTTACTGGAAATGGGTTACTGGATATGGGTTCGTTTTTATGATCTTCAATCAAAAGGAATGTCGAAGTAGTGACATGTGAAAGGTGAACCAGCCCGAAAGAAATTCAATGTCCACCAAACGCAGGAAAAGTGTTGGTGATTTTTTGGGACTCTCGGGGAATTCTGCTTGTAATAATTATGTAAGAGAAACCTCTAGTTTCTTTTTCTGAGTGATGTGACTTTTATGTGTAATCACTTCAAAATTCAAATTTTTTTATAAAAAACCGTGCATCGCGTGATACTGTATACCTATATGCGAATATTTCAACTATTGCTCCTCACTATAAATTTTGAAATGAAACTTTTCGAACACGTTTCATACTATTTACCTATTACTTATAATCAACCTAAGAATAACCCTACCAAAATAAACACAAATTTTATACACTAGATAAAATTGGTAATTGGCGAATGAAAAGTGTGTGGAAAATTACCTGCTGGTCACTGAATATAAAAAGTACACCGTGGTAAATATTAGAACTACTATTAAATCTATGTAGACATATTAATGGTCTGTTTCTCGAATAGATTAAAATACCGTTCCATGTTTGAATCAAGATTGTAAGCCTTATTCAACAATTTTTTTTTATTTTCTTCATTTTTACTTTTATACAGGGCGATCATTAAGTATGTGACTCGACTTTAAGGCGCTATTTCTTACTGAATTGTAAGACAAAAAGTTCATGTAAACGTAGATCCTAAACGGATTTTTTTTTATTAAATCTCATTAGTTACCCCCGACTATGCCACTGGTAAATCCAGAAAAAAATCCTTAGAATGTTCAGCTAATTTTGTCTTTTAGGTATTTAAGAAAAATATATTTTAAATTTTCTCCACTCCCTATATTTTCATTTTCAACCAAAGCTCTTTAGGACCTAAGTCTTTGTGAACTTTTTTCTTGAAATTGAGAAAAGAATATCATCACCTTAAACTTTGACAATTTACTTAATAATAATTTATTTATTTTTCAATGAATCTTAATCATCTATACTTGTGAGCATACTAAAAAATAGGTGGAATGATATTTAAAAAAAATTGATTTTTTTAAAAAACTTTTACACCCTGTATCTTTAGAACAAAGCGTTTCCGGACCAATGTTTATATGGACTTTTTTTCATGAAATTAGCTCAGGAATACACCCTTAAATTTAATGTACGCAATTAGGAAACACCCATATTGAAGAGTGCCTACTTACAAAGGTAATGAAGAACGAAAATAAAACTGCATACTCAATGATTAATGATGGGAAAATTGAAGGTTAATGGCGACTAGAAAGGAAACAAATTTAATAACTTCGCAATATATGACAATGGAACGAAAGAAGACATGATACATAACAATAGGTTGCAATCATTCATGAATACAGATGCCTAGGAAGAAAAAGTTATATTCTGTATATTTATGTCTATTTTATTTATGGAATCTACATGAATTTACGAAGGGATATTAGTATCTATCTAGCCTGGAAAGATTCTATAGTAAACAAAATTAAATGTTCAGAGAATAAAAAATTAAACGCTAAATCGGTACCACATAAATTTAATCGCAATACATGCAACTAGTTTCGACTTTCTTGGATCGTCATCATCAGACAAGACAAACATTAAAATCACAACTATAGATGATTGATAAGAAGTAGGTACCTAAGTTCATGCTACAATTTTATTAGAGGATTATATTAATACCCGTCTTCTTTTTTCTGCCTACTTGTACTCTTTAAGCTATTGCATAGCTTTTATCGCGGGCTTTGAGCGTGGCGACCGAATCAAGAGATTCCTTAACGAAAATAAACCTAACACCCCCACTCCGACCGGCACAGCGGTGCGGCGTTTTGAAAGCCGTGGAAAGTTTTATCCGACCCTATTCGTATTAGTATGAAGCGGAGTTAAATATACGTCTGCGGACTGGAACGTTTATGCAATACAAGAACTAGAAGAGCTTTCTCTGGCTTCTAATAAATTGGTATCACAAATGTTCCCGGCTGGCGTAAATATTAGATATTAATTTTTTTGCAAGATTTATAATAGTATATTATGCAACGATCATGTAATGATGGTTATTAATACACAAGCATTAACCGGGACACGAAACGAGTTTCGAATGGTTTATGCGAGTGTTTTAATAACCATTACATGAGAGTTGCATATGCTATTTTTTCTACACCCGATAAATAATCAAGACCTATAAATATTATATTTATATTGGTATTGAACACAACAGTAATTACTCGTATTTCTATAAAAAATTCTACAAAATTGTAATTAATGGTATCACTTCGGGTATTGGTATTTCCCTAGATTTTTGCGGCAAAATATTTTGTACTGTATTTTCTGCTTTCTCCGATATGTGTTTAATTTATAATTATCAAAGTTTAGCTATCTATGAAAATTTAATACGTTTTGACAACTAAAACAATTACATAGGAACCTAGGACAAACGTCAAACAGCATGCTTGATTGAAAAATTGTAAGTTTCTATTGATTAAAAATCTGTATCGTAATGAAAAATCTGTATCATAATGGGGGTATCATTATGAAACGGATTATGGGTATATAAGTGCATTATTATAATACGGGTGTAGAAAAAATATTAATTTTTATTTTATCAGTGTTAACTATTTCATTATTAAGCTATTGCACAGATTTTATCGCGGGCTTTGAGCGCGGCGACCGAATCAAGAAATTTCGTAACGAAAAATCGAAAAATCGAAAAATCAAAAATCAAAAAATCGAAAAATCGAAAAATCGAAAAATCGAAAAATCGAAAAACCGAAAAATCGAAAAATCGAAAAATAAAACAATCGAAAAATCGAAAAAATCGAAAAATCGAAAAATCGAAAAATCGTAAAATCGTAAAATCGAAAAATTGAAAAAGAAATTCCGTAACTAAAATAAACCTAACACCTCCCACTCCGACCGGCACAGCGGTGCAGCGTTGAAAGCCGTGCATCGTCCAACGTCGTTTCAGTTCGGCAGACTTCGGCACGGTGTTTGTGTGCGTGCGACTAGACGTATGCGTGTAGACTAGCTGCTAGCTGCTCATAACTGATTCTATCTCTTTTAGACACAATTTTGGAAAAATTGAATTTGAAAATGATCCACAAGAATCCACAACAAAATATGTGATACGTTTTAGCATTTTATTTTTATTTGAATCTATTGACATTTGACAAATGTATAATCCATTCTACAGTTGCAACTACGTATTATATTATTCTATATAGTGCAAGATCATCTTGTCCGGAACTTAAAACGATGGCTTGCATGTCGTGGTTTAACCGTGTCAGGCAATAAAAATGTCATAGTTGAAAGGTTAGTTGGATTATAAATTTTCTCGTATGTCATTGAAATGTTGAAAATTTTATAATTTTAAATAAACTATGTTGTTTTTTTTATATATGTAAGAATTGAAGAATGCATTGCAAATGGTAATGATAAAAAAATTTTCATTGGTATTGATGGTGGTAAATGTCTAACGGATAAACAGCAACGCATTAAATTACTCAATCCAACTCTACCAAGTTCAACATCCTGCACTTTTCCTACTACAAACTGGGCAAATTTTGCATCTCAAGCTATCCCTCATTCTGGTCCTATTGATACTTGAGATTTGAATGCTACCCTCTGCTCTTCGTGATAAATGTATCCTCTCCAAACACTTATGGTTTTATAAAAGGCACAAATTTTACACCATCTTGCTTGTAACGACTGCCAGACGCACAATGTTTTGTAGGAACAATATTTATTTATTCTAATAATAATAAAACTTACGTTTGACGTAGTTGGCAATACAGAATTCGAAACATGTGTACCCCCCACCAATGCTGCCCCTAGTGGATCTTTTTTAAATCTTCCCAGGAAAAAGGCTATAAAAATACCCATTTTTTTGCAAAATTATGATTTTATCCAATATATCCTGAACCGGTAGCCGCGTTGTGGGTATATGCATTTGACTCGGCTAAACGCAGTGAAAGTGTTAAGCTGCTAATTAGATTAAGCGTGAAAATTGTGGAAAAGCGCCGCGGAAAACTCTCTTTTGCGTAACAATGTCCCTACTCAACTCACAAGTCTTTGATTGCGATGCAAAAAATTTATGGGATTGGTTTTGAATTTAGTTGATAATCAGCCCTATTCTCCGGATTTAAAGGTAAACTATTTTTGACAAAAAATAATAAAGTCATATGTTGGGGACCGGTTTGCATACCAAAACAAACAATTTTTTGGGGGGCTTACAATTACTAATTGAACGTTATTGTGCCGAATGTGTAAGAGACGAGGGAGGGTATTTATCAATACCAACATCATGTATTATACGAATAAATAAAAAAGGTAGCGTTCCATTATATAGTCAATAGTTAACTCATCACTTATCAGAAATAGCGAAAAAAAAAATAGCATTTTAGATATGTTTCCGTAGGGTGTCTCGTAATAAATATAGATATCGATTCTTCAGATAACATTTTCGATAAATCAGATATAACCTATGTAGTAAGAATTGAACATATTTTTTCTACGCCCACATGGATATTAGGCTATTCTACGCACAGA